ACTAGGGTTCTTGCGCGGGATCACTACTGAGCGAATCGACCAGATTTCGCCCGTTCGAGGCGAGTGGACGTGTGGTGCCATTCTTGAGTAGTGAAATGCATTGTAGGGCAAGGGTCCGACAAGAGTGCGTAAAAGGGTACAAGGAGACATGGGTTACTATTGGCGTGGTTCATGGGCGGAAAGCGGAGCACAAGGCCACAGTGTGAGACCTAACTATGTAACAAGCACAAGTAGGCCATGCAGACTACGACGCAGCGTGACACCTATGGATGGCGTAGCTGCTAGTAATATGGGATAACAATGCACAAACAGGCCATGCATTAATGCACGTCCTCACGCGTTTGAGGTGAAAGCGATATCCGAGGCCATTAATGACTAATACGGTGTAAGCCAAGGTTAAAACAAGAACTCAAAAAGAGTGCTACCGGCTAAGCGAGCTCGCTTATAAAGGCAGAGCGGTCTGTGGTCTTGGCGCGGTTCACCAGGGTTCTTACGTGGGATCACTACGAACAAATTGACCAAATTTCACGCGTTCGAGGCGAGTGACGTGTGGTGCCATTCTTTGAGTAATACGATTGCGAGGGCAAGGGCCCGACAAGAGTGCGAAAAAGGGGTATGAGGGGCGTGGGTCACTACCGATGTTACTCGGTGTGAATGCGGACCACGAAGGTACTGATCTTGAACCCTAATTAGTAACAAGCATGCATAGGCCATGCACACAACGACATGTGTGGCACCTAAGGATGGCGTGTCTACTAACAATACGGCACAATAATGCACGTACTACGTGGCTACACCTCAACTAACCACCTAGGTATGTAGTAGAATCTACAAGATTTTGTTCTTTGTGCCAGCGTGCTGGCACTTACTGGGCCTCATCATTGCATACATATAAGTATATAGTTCCATTGATGCACACGTTCGTGTGTTCACCTCTACGAAGTACAGTGTACCGGCCATTAAGGACTAATACGGCTGCAAGGCAAGGTTCCGACAAGAGGGCAAAAAAAACCACGGGGAGACTTGGGTCATGGTAGGCGTAACCGCAAGCGACGCTAAGCACAAAGCCATTATGGTAGATGTAGTAATGGCGATCAACCCCAACCACCGACCATCCTGGGAGTAACGTGGCCATGCATGTGTCCTAAATCGTAGCAGTTTAAATGGTCCTGCATGGTCCTGCATATTACTTAGAAACTACCACAACGTCCCTACGAGTTCATATTACTTAGGTACTATTACAATAGTACAGCTTGGATGGTGAATCATTTTTATCTGATGGTAAGGAGGAGAGACATTAAATGTGTCCACCAACCCTGACCCTTTGCTTTCTAACCGCTTCGTTGCGGGTGATGTACTTGCGCTTCGTCATCGCGGGTGATGTACTTGTTGTAAGAGATTTGAAGTGTTTCAAGTAGAGAGAGAGTACAACTAAGTGAGAGGCGGTGGAACCGTTTTTCTTTCTTTCAAAGTCTGACCTTCTTTGCTTCGGTTGGTTCTTAATGGTTGAAGCCTGAACCTGTGAGGTTTCTTGGTTTGCCTCGGGCTACTTGGAGGACAGGAGGAGGCGTGCAACATGGACCCGTGCGTGGTGACCTCACTGATCGCGGAGACAACCATCATGTGGGAGCCCAGGCACTCCAACGGCAGCGGCAAGGGCGCCACGACTCCTTGATTCTCCGGCAGGGACTGACCTACCTCTGTGTGAGAGGCGGGCTACGTAGATGGCAAACGAGGCTGACGCTGTAAGAAACTTGAGATGCCCATAATAATAGCTGCGGTATGCTGGTTCTAGTGTTGGATAGCGAATCAAGAACACTTCTTTTGAGCTTTCTTCAAAATTAGCATACTTTTATAAATAGTCACCTGAATTATCAACTTCAAACCGAGTTGAATGAGCCGAGACGAAGTCAAAGTCATTCTAAATCATTTTTTTCATTTTAAAAGAAAAACGAGTTCCCTAGCTTGTCGTGTGCTTGTGATCGCTGATGCGTGTCGAAATTTCTAGGTTTCTAATTGTTTCCTTCAATCGGCTTATCTTGGCGTACTTGCACAGATGGTTTATGCCACCGCTCTCATTAACATTCAAAAGAACTCGATTCATTTCCACTTTCAAAACATCAACTCGTTTCCAATCCCAAAACATCAAAAATTCGGTGGATGGAGTTCAGAGGGCCATCTATCACAAGAACAGAACATGTATCAGAAGTTCAGAACCACCGGGCCATCTATCACAAGAACAGAACATGTATCAGAAGTTCAGAACCACCGGTCACTCGGGCCTGTAAATCATGGAGCTGAACCAACACCGCATTGTCTTGATCACATCAAACAAGACCAACACCGATGCAAATATATCCCAACCCACAACCACGATCCCCCGCCATAATGGCACTCGTTATTCGCAATTACAAGGAACTTAAGAAGATGGGGTCTACAACCGGATCACACAGAATGGTTAATTCTCGGACGGTTGATAACCAAGCCTCACCAAAGCAGACATCAAAACATTAGTGACAGAGTTATACTGATTGAGTAAAATTTTTTGTTCTCTTGAGAAAGGAAAAAATGATACATAAATGCTCGAACAAACCGAAACACTTCTAACAAGATTAGAAGAAGCTTTTCAAAGGAGAACAAGATTAGAAGGAACATGCTCCCAATTACAACATTGTAATAAGATTATTACGCATCTTTGTGCCGGTTACTTCTCTGATATGGGCAAAAAACGAGACGAGGTCGATACATACATTTTATTCATCGGTGAGATGCAACATGAAAGAAAAACTATGGAACAAGAGGCGGAATGAGAGTTTGTGTAACCGCCTCAACTCATTCTAAGACACTCTTCAAAATTTTTATGTGATAACGGTCGAGGCGAGAAGCGGCGGTGTACTCTTGCATCTTGGAGAGCTTGGCGCAACAACCTTGAGATGAAACACAAAATTAGAAAATGCAGTTTCACAGAAACCCAATGTATATTCAGCTCTGTGAACCGAAAGGACATGATAGTATCTTACCAAGCGGAGCAAGGGCATCCTGTGAATCCTGCGGCCGGTCTTGGAGGAACCCTTCTCGTCATGCTTTCGATGTAGACACGGATGGTGGCACCAACAGAACCAGTTCGAGAGAGGCGGAACACCTAGAATGCCGAAAATCCATGTTAGCTCACCAAGTATGATATAGACAGAGATCTCAAATATATCCATCGACCAAGGATGAATCCAGCTCGGACTTATCATGTACCGATCGATAATATTGCAAAAAAGGAAATGTATTGTTGACTAGAACAAGGTTTTCACACCACTCCCTTTGTTTTGGTTCAAGACATAAAATAGAGGATATCTAAAACAACACAGGTCTACATATACCACCGTGAACCATCTCAGAAGAGGTATTGGATGCCCGGTGCTTGGACACAGAGCCATCAACAGGATCCTTGTACTCAAACTAAATCGGCTACAACAACTACTTGAAACATCGGACCGGATCTCCTTGATCATTTGATGAGAGATAATTTAGATATGGCACTAAAATGTTCAAGATTGCTTAAGTTGATATATATATATACGGAGAGTACGACCATAATTTTTGGAGGCACTTGATTCCTTTACACTTTAAAAGTTCCACTTACTTGTTGACATCGAGAAAGTGATGATCTGCATGCTTCCTAGGTTTGCCATAAGCTCCTTAGCAAACCCCAGCGCCAACATTCTTCACAAACAAACTTGTGCATTTAGAATGATATCTGAAGCATGTGGTACATATATGCAAGGCGAATGTCAAAAAAAAGTTAGTACCTCATAGTCATAGCGTGTGTAATAATGGCAACCATATGTGGCCCAAGGTCTTTGACGGACAATATCTTCAACAACGACAAGCTTATCTCCTCCAAGGTCGTCCTTATTCTTGAAAGCAATAATAGAAAGCCATGCAAGCACTGCCCCGGATGCCATCCTTCTCACGAATGTGGTGGAGGACTCGCCAAAGTAGTACATATAAACATCTCAATAATGTCTATACCAAATACCAACAAGTCCTTGACCTTACTATGGGTTGGATTCATGACCGACTCAATAAAAAGGCGAGAGAGCTCACTATCGAGAACACAACAAGTGATTTGCCCCATTCATGTTAACACAATTTACCCATCTAACATGACGATACAAGAGGTGCTAGCATGTTTACTACTGTGATTAGCATGTATATAAATGATAGCCGAAGCCAAATATTACGGTGCCAAAGCTTTCTTCACACAGATTGAGCACATTCCGGCATCCATCAAATTCCCAAAAACTTCCGCCTTGATGGGCACCTGAAACATGGTTGTTTATGTTAGATTTATCTAGCATTCAAAAATCTTGCAAACCAAGGTCTCAACACTTTACCTCAAAGAACTTGAGATTGATTCTTTGCAACAACATCAAAGGCGGCGAGATATTGGCATGCTCTGCAACTACAACAATGGATTATCATAAGACGTATCGGTGCATAGAGAAATTTTAAATGCATCTAAGGTCGACGGGTGGGGATGAAAAATTTGGCGTTAGCGGTAATGCGTGCTCAGATGGTATTGTCGCTGATATGTTAGCAGATTTATTGAGCGAATAATCTTTGCCGGACTTAAAAGCAGATGGTGCACAAAATGTAGAGAGAAACATGCATTTTTTCTGCGCAGGCTACGAGTGAAGTTTACCGCTTTGAGCCTACGGTGAGAGTTTTACTGGCGACAATATATCTAGATGTTATATTAGCAAAGACAAGTATGGAGGAGAGCTTTTCACTGGCAACTCCCTTGAGGCCGAAGCAAAGTAAGGAATTGATTGGACTGACATTGGCGCGATAATGGCAACATGAGTCCGATGGTGCCACAAAGAATCTATAACAAGGCAAAGGGGAGTACCATGAATTCCTTGTGCTTTTCTAGAATCCAAAACAAATTTTCTACATAGCGAGATATTCGAACATATCATACCTTTTACCCGAGAATCATGTTGCGATCAAAGCATCTCCATCATTGCAGCGCCAAATTGTGGGGGCTCAACATTTGAGGATGACTTTCCAAGATCCATCCGTTCAACCAACTCTTTTGCATAGGTGAGGCTAGGATCCGGATGACCACCTCCAAAGTCCTCCTGCAAAAACATAAGTGATGAATTAATACCAAGCCACATTTTAAGTAGAAATTTGTGACAATAGAAGAGCTCATTACTTTCGGGACACAATTCAACAAATGAGCTTTCATCCGGCACCAAGCTCTTCCACAAAGATGTGTGCGGCATAAGCTCCAACAACACCATGGGCGCATCATAACTAAAAGAGCACAACAAGATTTCAGATGTGTTACTGATAATATTATTACGTCAATGGTGACATGGTTGCGATCATAGATGAATACCGAATGTAAACTTTTGGGAAGCCAGCAGCTTTTTTATTGCTTCAAAGTCAAAAATTAATAGGAAATGATGGCGGTAACTAAATCATTAGATTCCCTTGTTACACAACATGATCCGGGTAACATGTAATGATATAAAGCACAGATATTCTCACTTCAATGAAAGAAAACACGAAAAGAACAAGCTACTTACTTCATTAACTTGATGTAATGTACACTAGAGTCAAAGACATCCACATCAAAGGGGACATCGGGTCCCTTTGAAGTTTGGTGAGACCGACAACGAAATATCAACTGCAGTAGTAAAGTAGGAGAAAATGAATAGTCCACTAACTTTGTCAAAAGGAACAATGAGAAAATACTTAGCGGTGTCGGCCTTTGAATCATACATCTGGAAGGTCTTGAGAGATGAGGTATTGAGAGATTGTCGTTGTATTAGAGAAAATCTTGTCGAGAACGGATTGAGGGCATCCAATAAAAATTTCAGGACTACGAAAATATAATTATCAACCATGCTTTCAGGTTGACCTTTATCGATGGCGACCATGTGGATCCTCGGTGGCGTTCCCGGCAAGTTGCGGGGCCTCAAGAAAAGGAAACACAGAGATGTCGGTCAAAACCTAACCAAATCGAGAAGGCCGCAACAACCCCATCGAGTGAACCCCAGATCGGCCGAGAAGAAGGGGACGCGAACACGACGGCGTCGATCTACTCGAAGACGGCGGCAAGGTGGGAGTACCGGCTTGGCGCAGAGATGAAGATGAGGGAAGCGCTTGCAGCGGAGGCGGTCGTGACCTATTGCCGTTGTTGCCAAAGAAGGGCCACCGGTCCGCCTTGAATTTGCCGCTTGTTGGACCCGTAGCTGCCGGGGGGGAGGAAGAGGACACGACACGATTCGTCCGCGCAGCGAGGTGGTAATGTTCCGCGCGGCCGAACCACGCCACGTCGAGGCCCCGGATGGATTCCTTGAGCGCCTCCACGCCCGGCCGCATGACGCTGGGCGCGATCCGGACAGGACGGACGGCGGTCGTCGCGCCGTCATGAGGTATAGTGGTCGCGCCCGTCGGGAGATGGAGGGTAGGGGAGGGGAAGCGGGCGGGGGGAGGGGTGGCCACCGACGCCGGAGAGACGACCGACGGCTGCGGCGCTGACAGTGCCGTGGAGCTCGTCGGGGCTAGGGTTGCGAGGGAAAAAGAGGGGGAGAGAGAGGAGGAGGAGGCGGTGGTGCAGTGGCGAGATGGAGCTCGTCCGGCTAGGGGTTGGTGGCGACGGGTCGGGTGCTGTGTGAGTGAGAAATGGAAATGGGGATGGGATGAGAACCGGAGATGAGAGCGGTATGGGAGCCATGCGGTCGGTGCATGGTCGGTGGTCGATCGTACATGGTCGGCGCAGCATTAAATGTTCGGCTATCCGACTTGTTTGGCGCCGAGCTCTCTGCGGTTGCAAGTGGCCTTCGAAATGGAGATGGGGAGGGGGCGGGGGGATGGGATGACCGGAAATGAGGACGAGATGGGGCCGGGGTGCACACAAGTCGACAAGTGATGCATGCAAAACGAGGACGGCTCCAAAGGCAGCATGAATGTACGCGTTAGGCACCGCCATGCATGTCACCCGCCATCGCTTGCCTCACCGGCGGTTACTTCATCTGAGCCGTGGAATCTCTATCTAACGCACCAAATAAAAAGAGAATACGTGGACATCCTAGAAGGCCGCCGATTCGGCGTGCCTTCATATCTTTAATGAGGATTTATAGGGACAGCCATCCAACAGAGTGGTCAACGTCCCTACAAATTGATTAGAAAACAAAAAAATCGCCCTACACGTGCTTTTGCGAGCCATGAGCTCGGCTCATGCGCGCCGCTTGGTACTGCACGCATTGTCATGCCCCACTACTCTCATGTCTGCCTAACGCCATGCATTACCCGCCCGGGCTTGTCTTGCACGAGCGATGGCGAAGACAGGTTAGAGGGGGCCGACCCCCAAACTTTAGTACTTTTCTATTATAATTCTTAATGAACTAGCTAAATTATGATGTAATTAAAGGATAAATGATCCACCCTATTGACATTTGACCCCCCAAAATCTAGATTCTAGCTTCGCCACTACGGGGGGCGGTGCCATGAAGTTCATGCCCACACGCGGCAAGGTGGAAATGGGGGGCTCACGCGTGTAAGTGGCGATGGCTAGGCGAAGCTAGGAGGAGATAAGTGAGAGAGAAAGGTTCGACCATGCGGGTGAAAATTTGAACAATAGTGTGGATTGAAGGGATAAGTGGTCTCTATAGACGATTTTTGCTCGAAAGTTTTGAATAACTTATTTCTAGGTGTGATTGGTCAACCACCCTATCTAAAGAGTGGCTACAAACGAGAAAAAAATAGAGTCGCTGATGTAGCAGTGAAACTAGTTCACAATCTCTTTTACTGAACACGTATATCCGGCAAAGAATAAGTGAACAGTGTAGTTGTTACACTCCTAGTATTTTCATCCCCCTGATTTGTACAAGTAGAAAAATACAATAAACTTATGCGCGCACACACCGCGGGGTGGCCTCGATCACAGCAATCACAATCAGTGGATGCATATACCGGGCACCTTCCAGCGCACGGGCCCCCGTGCGCGGTCCTCGTCGTCCATCTGCCGGTACGCCCGCCACTCCTGCAGCAGGTTGCCGAGGTCGTGCAGCTTTGCGCCCAGGCCAACGCAGCAGTTGGCGTGCATGGTGTAGAGCGTGTTGAAGTCGCGGGTGTTGTTGCAGAAGCCGGCGTTGTGTTCCGTGTCTAGGAACTGGATGCGCAGGCCGCGCGTGGCCACCAGCTCCACCTTGATCTCGTTCAGCACCTGCTGCTCGTGCTTCCCCGGGAACGCCTCCCGCGCGCCGTGCCACGCCTCGAACGCGCCCACCGTCCGCCGGCTCGACTTGACGTACAGGAACCCCGTGTTTGGCAGGTTCATCGGGCTGTATGGGTCGCCGAAGTAGAAGTCCGACGAGGTCACCATGTGCGCCGCCACAGACATCCGCTCGAACGGGTTCCGGAACCACAGAATGTCCACGTCCTGCATGCAGCGTGTGACAAATGGTAATATCAGAAGGGTGGTTTTGTAAAACATGTTCAGTTTCGCTTTCTCTGGTCTGTTGTTCCTGGATGGAACTATTCCAAGTCAAACTGCTTCGCGCGTGCGTAGGTACCGTGAAGAGGAAGTTGTAGCCGAGCTCGAGGATCCTCTGCTGCAGCCGGACCTTGCTCCAGACCAGGTCGATGTAGTCCTTGCTCATGAACACCTTCTCGCCGGAGAGGTTGTGCGCGGCGGCCGCGGGGAGGAGGTAGCAGTGCGGGTGCACGGCGCGGCAGTGCTCCAGCGCGCCGCCGTCGAGGGCCACCACCAGGAGGTGGTCCACGAAGTGCGCGATCCGCTCGCCGCTGCGGAAGCTCTCCAGGAACAGGTCCAGCAGCGAGTCCTGCGCCGCCCACGCCTCGTTCACCGACGTCATGATCACCGTCCGGTCCTCGTCCGCCACCGCGCGCAGCAGCCGCTCCAGCTCGTCCTCCTGCTCCGCCGCCGTAACCTGCTGCGTGCATGATCGAGCCGGACATGAACAAAAGACGATGTCGTCAAGAAACTGAAATCGAGCAAAGACTGCAGCTTGGCGATCGGAATTTTGGAACCGGCTGGGATATGATGTTTAAGAATTAACCTTTGAGTCGGCGTGAGCAGGAGCGGCAGGTTCTCTTGCCAGGGGAGCAGGAGTCTCCTGGACGGGAGCATCATCGAAGCCCGTGGTTCCATTGGCCCAGGTCGATATCCCCGTGAACCGCCCTCCGCTCATCGCCGTCGTCAGGAAGAAGAGCAGGACGGCGGCGGCGGACGCCCCGAGGATGAAGGACACGAGCTGGTGAAGCGCGTTCTGCTGTCTGCCCATCGGAACACCGCTGCTGCCAACAACGCCGGTCGCCTGCAGCCCAGAAGCCAAGAACAGAGACGAGGCGATCGAGGTGGAGTGTCGTAGAGGGGAACTGCTCTTGGTCTATACTTAACTCTTTGGCTCGTTTCAGTTTCCTTTTAAAAATCCAATGTAAGAGAAACTTGACAGTTTGATCCTGTCAAAGGAGGTGACATTAGCCGACGACGACGAGACCGGTTCTGGTGTGCTACACCTACACCACACGCGGTGAAAATTGAAATGTACTAGGAATTAGGACATCGATCGATGTGTTGCTATGTTTCACTGTCTACATGTGCATTTCCAACGTTCGTGTGGAGAGTCAAACGTGTCTCGGTCGGCAATCAAGGGAACGTTCTGTGCTCTTCAGTAATCTAATCTGAGCATGAGAACTGTTGATCCATGTGCATCAGAAACTTCGTACTGGGGGTATTGTATATCGCCGCAAATCAATACCGTTCATTAATTATTTAGAGTGCAAAATTTGCTCAGCAGTCAGCGCTGTAGTGTGTACTACTGCACATTTTCTGGAATGGTAGAGTAATAACAGTTCTACAGTATATGAGTGCAGATTAGATCTCCTTGTGGCCATTTGACACCTCAGTTTTTTTTTTTTTTGAATGGACCGTTTGACACCTCAGTTGCCTGTACTAATAAACACTCTGGGATCACTAAACTATTGCCTCCTCTAAAATATAATATTGTTCAACGCTTCACGGTACCATGCGTGTACGTGTATGATCGATGATATCGATGTCGAGATCGATCCACTGGTGATTCATTACTAGTAGTATTTTCAGTGGCTTTCGCTAACAACTCTTCAGTCGTACAGATTTCACGTGGCACATCCCATGCTGAGCGAAGCCCTGCTATCTATTATTCTATCTCAGAACAATATGCATAATTGCCTTACCGGGGGCGATCGAGTTGCTTCCTTCTTCCCTGTGTTAATATAAATAATAAATAAATTATTACTTGATTCTGTCAAACTGAGATGGAGACGTGTGCTGACCGAAATGTTGGTGACCTGTTACTAACCTTCCAGGGCGATGGCGATCTCTTTTTTCCGCATCACGGATCACTGACCATGGAAAGTAGCGGTAGAAAGTCGTGATTGACTGCTTTCGGATCCCGAAGGGTGAAAAGGCAGTACGGTTTGGTTTGCCTCGATTTTACCTGGCATCGCCTCGGTTCAGTGGTTCTGAACTTCTGATTTCGTGAAAAAACGAAGACCGTCGGGAGGGGGATTTTGGCGATGAAACGGGGCTCCTTCCTGAACCATGACTGAAATCTACTAGCCAACTGCCCACGAAGGGGTGCTAAGGCCATGATTTTGGCCGGATGAATGACAAGTGTGGGCCGAGGGCGACTACTTTTGTTGTCACACGCCTACTGGACCACAGCACTGGTAACCTGTGCTTCAAACCGGGTATTTAGTCTGAGAAATTGGTTGGTCCGTATTCTTCTTATCACGCTTATGTTCTGTTTATTTATCATTTGTAGAATACAATGTACTTCATCTGTCCTAAAAACTTTGTTTTTTCGCGACTGTACATTGAGGGTCTGAGGCACGTTTTTTTATTAAGAGCAAGTAGAGTTTAAAAAAGTACAAAGGACTCGCGAGAAATCCTAGAATTACAACATCGGTCCCAAAGACACAACGAGAGAAAAACAAACCCTTGTTGGTCGAACTTGTGAAGCTTCCAATTCCTAATAGGTTTTATATAACTGACCAAGAAGCTTACTTTGCTTGCTTACGTGCAGAACGGAAGAGCAGTGAATCCTTAACTTTTCACATGCGGCACTAGCTACTCATTCATTTTGTTGCGTGGTTATGTAGACTATCCGTGGCTTGGAGACTTATTTATCGACCATGTCATACATTTTAATTCGTCTAGGAATTAAAGTCCGTATTGACATATGGTGCTCTAATTCATATGGGTACGAGAGATTTAAAGATTTATCAATGATTATGTCATAGTTTCAATTCGTTTTGGGATATAGAGTCTCTATATCATGCATCAGCACTTAACTCGTACGGATATAGATGAGGTGCGGACCATGAAAACCCTTCATATTATGATTAGTTTCCGAATTGGATTGAGCACAGTGTTTGAAAACACTTCTATTGGATCTTCATTGGATGATTGTCAGATTGTGAGCCATGAAGGACATTCACTCGAGTGGGGAAGGAAGGAGAAGGATTGATATCGTTTCTTTTTTGTGTGACAAGGATTGATATCATTAGGACAGCTGGTTAAAGCGGCAAAATTCGAAACAAGTGGTGCCAGATCATCCGAGCGCCGTGTGCCACTGACCAATAGTTCTCCCCCAATGATGACTCCGAGGTCCCGTTCGGCTTGCTGAATCTTGGCTGAAATTGGCTGGAAAACACTGTTCTGGCTGAAATGTTGTGAGAGAAAAATACTATTCCGGCTGAAAAAAAAAGAAGCCGAACAAGCCGAATATAGGGTAAGCCGAACGGGGCCTCTATCTCAATGTAGAAGGGCCCCACAGGCAGTCCACATCAGCAAGACCCTTTCGGGTTGAGCTATGCTGCCGTGGAGGGCCACGCGCAGCGGGTGGCAGTGCCGCCCCGTGCTGTCGTGCAGTCGTGCGCGCTGTGGGAGTCGCGGTCCTGCTCCCAAGTCAAACGCCGCCCTTGTACTGGGCTTCTGGCGGTGGACGGCCCATCTCGTCGTTTTGGGTCTGTTCGGCTCGTATTAAAGCCGTCTGATAAGTCGGTTAAAACTGTTTTATTGTAAGAAAAAAATATTATAGAAACTGATAAGCCGACTGATAAGATGCAGCAAACAGACCACGATGTCGCTCTGCTGCGGTGTTGCTGCTCCCGAGCGGCATGGAGCCCGCAAAGAAAAAAAATCAAAAATCTAATTCCCCGATCTCCTGGGATCCTTCCCGCAACCGCGGGACAGAGAGAGAAGCTTTAGATTCCCCGACTCTATACAAATATTATTGTTTATTTCCATGCTACCGGAAGTAGCGTACTACTTGACATTGTTACTCCCTGTTCCCTCGTTGGTTTTAGTCGAGACTTATCAGCTTATCAGTCATGATACAGTATTTTTCTCTCACAATAAATCAGTATTAGTTGGACTTATAAGCCCAGAAACCAATCAGTAAACAGGCTGAATATATCTTTGCTACAGTAAAGCTGCATTAAATGCTTCTTACCACCTTTTTTTAAGAAACTGAAGGGCCAAGGGCCCTGCTGAGGATTTTATTAATTGAACAAGAAGAGTATAAATTACAGATAAAAGAAAGGAAAACCGAAACTACAAAGTTTTACAGAGCAAAACAAAGGTAAGCTAAGCTAAGCTAAACAGAGCAGCTTTAAGAAACGAAGAAGGAAACAAAGAAAATAAAATAAACACTTGCTGGATCCATTGGTCATATCCCTGGGCCGCGAGCTGGTGGGGACGCTTCCTTACCAATTTGAGCGGTCGTAGCTGATGCGGGTTAGCCTCTTGGGTAGCCTTGGACCGGTCCTTGCCGGCTCGACGTCCTCGCGGGGCTCGCGAGCCTCCGAGAGTAGCTTCTTCGCGTCTGACTCACTGCAGTGTTTGGCCAGGTGAGCTCGTGCGTTCTGGCGCTTGAGCCCTCTTGGCGTGACGATGATGCTGTGATCGCGTCTCCGTCTTCAGGTGTAGTTGCTGCTTTTGACGGAGAGCTGTCGGGGCATGTCGCTGTTGGAGCTGGCCCTGAGCGCAACACGGTTTGATCCGCTCGTCGCGGCACGTGGTGCGCTCGGGTAGCCTGCTTCCTTGGACGCACGTGCGTCCGGGCGACAGCTGGCAGTTCGCCGAAGTGTGTCGCGCAGCTTGCTCATTGTGCAGGTTCGGACCCTGGTTCTGAGTTCGATCCTGAGCGGTGCGGTGCCGACTAGCGGCTAGATTACCAATGGCGACACCGCATGGCGGTTGGTAGCTTCGTCGTTCGCGCACGCCCTGAGTCATTGCGCTCCGCTGTCGAGGGCAATGTCTGAGGCGCGTTTCTACCATTGGGTCCAGTTTTGCCATGCGACGAGCCTAGACCGGGTAAGAGCTAGCGACGGGCGTTGCCCCGCTTGTTCGGGCGATCTCGTAGTCCCCGAAGAGGATGTGGCCACCGCGGGCCATTGCTCGGGCGAGGTCGCCATGAGCCATGGCTGTCTGGCTTCCTGGGTGGAAGGCTTGGCCATGGCTAGTGATGAGAGAGGGCTCTAGGCCCTCTACGTAGGCGAACTCTGGGATGCAGCCCCCGTGGGTAGTTCCGAGAGTGCGCCCGCCATAGGCCGCGGGACCCAGATTCCCAAGGTGGAGGTTTGGGTCGTGGCTGAGGGCAGACGCGGGCGCTGGCCCTTTGGCGCCGATGAACCCGTAGTTTTCATGACGGATGTGACCTCCGCGGGCCATTCCACCAGCGAATCCACCAGCAGTGCGAGGAGCCATCGCTTCCTTTTTCAACAATCGAGAGTGCACGACTGGCCCCTACCTAGCGCGCCAACTGTCGGTCTTTCGAACCAGACTAGTAAACTTATATGATTACCGCGCTGCTCTAGGAAGACGATGATATCATCCAATAGACACGAGGATTTATACTGGTTCAGGCCGAAGCCCTACGTCTAGTCTCAGAAATGATCGAGTGCGTGTTCCTCGCTTGAATGCTCTGAAGTTCTTACAATGGGTGATGCAAGAATGGTGAAAGAGGTGGTAGAACCTATGCTAGATGAGGGGCAGCCCGAAGGGAAGCTCTATGAGCCCTACTACTATGGTGAATGAATGGAATGGTAGATGATGATGAAGGTGCGTGCCCTGGCTGCCCTTATATAGAGTCCAGGGCCAGGGCTTGTATAGTGAGGTGGTTCTCCTGACCGAAGGGTCGTGAGCCTGAGGGAGGTCCTAACTAACTTGGCTTGTAAGTTACGCCATCTTCTAGTGCTGCTCATGGCATGGCTGTCGTCATGGTCTTGTGGCCACGTCGCGGTAGGATGTGACGTGGTGCTACTGTGCAGGGCGTGGTGGCACTGTAGACATGGTGCTGGTTCATCAGCTATCCTGTGCAACACGACGTCTGTCGTGGCCCTCGTTGCCATCTCCTGGTTTCCCGGGGCGTCGTGCGGGAGTTGGTGGCCACCCCAGGTTGTCGATCTCCTGATTGCATCGTGGGGCTGAGGGCCATGACCCCGATCGTCAGGGTTAGGGTTTTTAGCCGGTCTGGATGGCTGTGCTTACTCTTGTCAGAGCAGGCATGCTGGTTGAGCTCAACCTTTTCCTGTGATAGGGGAGAGGTCGAGCGCCTCGCAAGCATTGTGCGGCCGTAGCTGGAGGAAGGGGTCATGGCCGACCCCGACCTCGTCGTCTGGCCTATCATTCTTAGCTTTTGGCTAGGCCTCGGTCATTTAGGCCTTTGCGGGCCACACGGCCTGCTATCTAATCGGTGTCTTGAGACACCCCGGGGTCATAACCCTGACACAAATGTTCCAAATGTTTTATTTGTTTTAGACATTGTTGACACAGAAATTTGGTCCGAGACAGGAAGTCCCTAAAGTCAAGAAATTATCAAGAAAAGATGAGCTCTCCAATCGAACCGGATAAATAAATTGCTAGACCAGCTAATGAAATGGCGACATCAGGGAGTAAGCCCTATCGGCAGGATCAGCAAGGCACAGAGCAAGAAGACGCGTTGAGCTCCATAGAAAGGAAAGATTGGACTCCAAGTTATCTTAGATTAGGAAGTTTTGTTCGTTTTTCCAAGTTGTCATAATCGGTCTTGTTCGACTAGGACTCGTAGTCAGGCCTTGGGTGTAATATTGAAGCCCGACCATTGTAATGGACATCTCACATCGATCAAACAAATCTAGTATCTTTACTTTTTCGGCTTCGGGCACCCTTTAGGAGTAGGAGTAGAGTAGATTTCGGCGAGTTCTTCAGGCAAGCAGGGCTGCGTCGGACGACCTGACCTCTGGCTTGTTTGTGAGTATCCGTCATGACTTATATTGTTACTTGCATGGCTGCAACAGACGACTGATCTCTTACGAGTCACGGTATAAGTTAGTTATCGATCTATATT